CGGCTTGATTGGTCTGCTGAATCCACTTGACGACTTGACGGATGCCTGACGCGTAGGCCTTTTTGGATCTTTCGGCCACCAGAGCTCCGTGAATATCCTCCAGCGTCGAAGTTTCGCGCTGCGGTACCGTCGCCATATCAAGTAATGATACAGTAGACATGCATACACAGTATTTCATCCAATCACTGCTCGAGGATACACGATAGGCCAGGTGGCCTACAAAGGACCAGCATTTCCATTGTTTTCATTTATCTTGCTATTTGTATTTGCCGTGCATTAATTCATTGAGAAAAGTAGAAAAGTAGGCCAGGTGGCCTACGTAACTATTGAATTTAGTATACCTGCCCTACGTAGTTCATTCAATGTCCATTTTCAGCTCTATGACAGCGGAGCGCAGAAAATTGTTGTCGCGTAGTGGCTGTGGTGGCCAAATGTTCAGGCGGCGAGTGGCGAAACGACGTAGAGTAGATATAGCGCATGAGAACTATGTATCTACGCAAGTCAGTCGTAAGTCGGCGGCTTGGAAATATAGACTGCCACGCTAATGGCGCACCGGTAAAGGTCAAACCGACCGACAATGCTATGTGTTTCAACCTTGTGCGTCAGTGTGATCTTCTCCTTCCCGAAGGAGTCGTGCACTCATCACTACTAACTCTAGGCATGCGCAACCCATAAGATCAACGCCTAGCTAACCTGAAATCATGTACAATACACAGAGCCTAGGGTTCAGTACAAGTAGGAGGTCGCGCGGGACGGGCATGTGTACAGCGTTCGATGCGTTCTGTGTGCAGCTACCCTCGACATGGAAATGACTTACCACAGCCGTGCTTCACAGGGGTAAAGTTCTCCCGTCGAGGACTTACCAGTACACACCGGAGTGGAGTGACGAACCACCGGCAACCGACAAGGGTGTGCTTTGGGCGTGCTCCTGCGAAATTTTAGTTTGCAACCAACAATTTATTCTGATATTTTTGCCCAATAAATAGCCACAATCCCAAAAGTCGCTGTAAACGACCTCAAGGAGGTCGTCCAGAGCGGTTTTTGCAAAAGTCGATGGAAACGATTTTGATTGGCTACTTTTCCAAAAACCGCTGACACAAAAGTCGCTCCAAACACGCCCTAACGTCAGGTGTCAAACTCGAACTACGCAATACGCAATACGGTAGCCACAACATTGGTTCATTCTACACCTCGCTGATTGGTAGCTTGTCGATTCAGTGCGCCTTGATTGGCTTGAACTTGTGTAGTATTTAGTACATACCGGTACATAACAGCAGACTACACTAGTTTTGCAAGCCATCTCGTGAAGAGGGTGTTCTAAGGACAGCAAGAAGGCATACAGGGGGGGCAGCTCTCCCTCCGTCTACTTAACTTATGGTGGTAAAGTTATCTGGTTGTTACGTACTGTACAGTACGTGCAAGTTGGTTGACAGTGAATATTGTACCGGTACGAGAAGTAAATGCCACATCACATTACCTCGACTGCAGCATCCCACTGTTGCAGGGTAATCCACGGCTTCATATGTGGGGGGTGGGGTCACGATTTGACAGCGATCATATCGAAGTGCTACAATCTAAGTAGGGGGACGGATGAATTCAGTCCTTTGTACCATGTGGAGCGTACCCATCTGGAACATCGACGGGGTGTCGCGGGGTTTCCTGGGACGGGATTGGAGCACCAACGAGTAGAAGGAACCAACGCCATTGGCTGCAGGCGGGGTGTCAATGTTGCTGTCGGTACTGTAACCTGATGAAACCTGCAACCGAAGGCCAGCTTAAGCCCTCTAGTTCCTTCCAACCCTCACATTGTCAACCTTTCTCATTAGCATGACCTTTCCCATCATGATGTGTACTGCGGCACTGAAAACGAGCACTGATGGTGCCTGGCGGTAGACGAAGTGGACGGACGACGTGTGGCCGCCGCACCCACACGTTCAACCTGGACATGTGACGTGTAAATCGCAAGTTCAACGTGGGCCGATGAGTTCTTTACGGATAATATGGCACGAGCCAATCAACGGGACGGATTGTTCCGGATAAGGCGGCGCCTTGACCGAGCCCTTCATTTTAATTGCTGCCCAGGGATTGCCCATGGAAAATGGTACGAAAAAATTCATGAAATTTATTAAATTTTTCGCACCTTCTCGCCCCATCCGCTCATTTTCACTTTTGACCGTCAAAGGATGTTGTCCCGCATCTCTAGCCGCGCGCCTGTCCGCTCCATGGCCGCGCCTGCCAGCGCCGTACGCTCCTTCGGCACGGTACGATGACGCATCTACATTGGACATATATGGACATGACAACATCATGTGCATGCACGTTGATTATGGCGGATGTGTATCGGAGATGCATCGATCAATCGTAACGACATTGTGTTGCTTCAACGTAGGCCGACAACGAGACCAAGGAATCGCTTGCGAAGGCGTTGAGCGACTTGCAGAAGGAATCGGCGGCCAAGACCGTCCCTTGGTTCTTGGACAACATGCCCGCGGCGTACTTTCGCGCGATCACCAAGGAAGACCGTTTGCAGCACTTGAACGCGCTCACGGCGTTGGTGAACGCGCAACAACCCGAAGTGTTGTTGAGCTCCCCGGACAAGAAGGTGTACTCGTACATCCGCACGGGCGACTTGTACCCCGGTTTGTTGTCCGACATCATGGACCAGTTGCCCAAGGACCAAGGTGAATTGGCGCGGGTCAAGATTTTCTCGTCGCTGGACGACTCGTTGGCCGTGGACGTGTTCCGTTTCGGTCGCCAAGAGCCTTTCCGCGGCGACACCCCCGAAGAAAAGACCGCGCGTGACACGATCCAAGCATACGTGGCCGACATCCAAGCCGGTAAGTATGCCGGTGTCGAAGGCGTGCCAGAGCCGGCCGCGTACTTTACGCCCGAAGCCGTTGACGAGTTCTTGTCGCTGTCCAACTCGATGTACGTCAAGTTTAGCAGCCCCCGTCGTTTGGCGACGCAAATCGCGCTCTTCCACCGCGTCCGCGGCACGGAAGGCGTGGCGGTCAGCGTCGAACACGGCTGGGAAAGCAAGAGCGACGAAAACAAGCTCAGCGGCGGCAAGGTGCCCCAGACCATGATCACGCTGGCCGCGTCCAACGTCCTCACCAAGCACTTGCTGCAACGTGCCGCCACGTACTTGGGCTTGAAGGACTTGAACGTCCGCCGCGCGCATTTGGACGTGATTGACGACCGCAAAAAGGGCTCGGGCACGGTTCGTGGCCTTCATTTTATTTCAAAATTTCGCCGACAACAATGTCATGACGATCGTGGATGTAGGTGTCGATGATTCGCATTTTGGTGTCGCCATCCGAAGAAGACTTTCGAAAGAACACTCAACTCGACTGGAAGCAGATCGAGTACGACTTGCGTTACCTCAAGTGGCTCGACGACAAACCCATCGACATTGCCCTCGCGCACAAGAACGTGGTGGACATCCCCCATGCCGAAATCATCGCCACATACGCGCACATGCTGCATGGCATCCTCGCCAAGGTCGACCCGTACGCGTACTCGTTGCCGCGCATTTTCGAGCTGCTCAACCACCCGACCAACGCCGCGTTGGCCGCGTCGATCGCGGATTTGTTCTTGGAACGATTTGACCCGAACGCCGCCAAGAAGATGTCGGGCGACGAACTCAAGACCCGCACCGAAGCCATCAAGGTCGAAGTGCGCAAAAACGTCGAAGGCGAAGACGCGATCCGACTGCTCAACACGTTTGCCGACGCCATCGGCGCCACGCTGCGCACCAACAAGTACGTCCGCACCCGGTACGCGCTGGCGTTGCGCATGGATCCCGACTTTGTCGGGTACGGCACGGTACGTTTATTACCATTGATCGATTGATACAAGTCTATGTTTGTATGGTTGGTTGTTGTGGATATCGATAGGATGTATATATATATATATACTGCCATAATGGGATCGTCGGATGCAGATGGTGCTGGATTTGCTGTTGTACTGTCCAACGTTGGTGTACTCGAATGTGATATAAAGTTGAACCCTATATATTTTGCTTCAATAGTCCAATTGTACCGTTGAGATTATTCTATTGATATTTCTATCCATTATACTCTTTCAATAATCCAATTGCATACCTTGTCGAATGTTATATATCAACACATGATATATTTATATATTTCGCATTATAGTCCAATTGTATACCTTGTATATAATTATATACATCAACACGTTATATATGTATATAAATATATATATTTCGCATACGATATATATATATATATTTCGCATACGGTCGTGGTGTGTACACTGTTGCTTTCTTTGTCTGGTTCATGCTGTATGCTGCTGCTATATGTTCATTTTAGAACGAGAGAAGTGTCATATACATGACGATGTTGACCATGTTGTGTTGATAGGTCGGCAAGGAAGTTCCGTTTGGGGTGTTTTTCATCCACGGGCGTCGGTTCAAGGGGTTCCACGTCCGCTTCCGTGACATCGCGCGCGGTGGCTTGCGCGTGGTGGCGCCCGCGGGGTCGGACGCGCACGCGTTAGAGTCGGCGCGCCAGTACAACGAAGCGTACAACTTGGCATTTGCGCAGCAGTTGAAGAACAAGGACATCCCCGAAGGCGGGTCCAAGGCCGTGGTGCTCGTGGAGCCGCGCAGCTCCAACAACGACGCGACCACACGCAACTTTATCATCCGCAAGAGCGTCAAGGCGTTTTCGGATGCGCTGTTGGACTTGAACACGACCGACGAAGCGGTCAAGTCGCAAGTGGTCGACTATTACGGCAAGGACGAGCTCATTTACTTGGGCCCGGACGAAAACATCATCCCAGACGACATTACGTGGATGACCAAGCGTGCGGCGTACCGCGGGTACCCCATCCCCCGCGCGTTTATCAGCTCCAAGCCGGACGTGGGTATCAACCACAAGGTGTACGGTGTCACATCCGAAGGCGTCGCCGTGTTTGCCGACGTGGCGCTCCGTTCGCAAAACATTGACCCCCGCAAGCAATCGTTCACGGTCAAGATCACGGGCGGGACCGACGGCGACGTTGCCGGCAACATCATCAAGATCTTGGCGCGCGAATACGGGTCCAACGTCAAGGTCGTGGGTATCTGCGACGGCACGGCGTCGTTGGACGACAAGGACGGGATCGACATGGACGAACTGCTGCGTCTCGTGGACGAATCGCTGCCGCTGTCGAGCTTCAGCGCGACCAAGGTGCGCGCCGGCAACTTTTTGCTTGCCGACACCCCCGCCGGCATCCGCGCACGCAACACCCTGCACAACCGCGTTAAGTCGGACCTGTTCATCCCGGCGGGCGGGCGCCCCAACACGATCAACGAAAACAACTGGAAGGACTACGTGGACCCCGCGACGGGCAAGGCGTCGTCGCCGCTGATCGTCGAAGGCGCCAACTTGTTTGTCACGCCTGAAGCGCGCCAGCTGCTGTTTGACAATGCCGGCGTCGTGATCGTCAAGGACAGTTCGGCTAACAAGTGCGGTGTCATTTGCAGTTCGTACGAGATTGTGTCGTCCATGCTGTTGGAACCCCAAGAATTTTTGGACATCAAGGACGAACTCGTGCACGACGTGGTCGAGAAGCTGCGCCACTTGGCGCTCGTCGAAGCCGAGTTGCTCTTCCGCGAGTACAAGCAAAACCCGAACGCGGCGCTCCCGCCGTCCTCGGAGCGCATCTCCCGCGCCATCACCCGTCTCCACGACTCGATTGTCGCCAACTTTGACAACCTTGCGGTCGACCACAGCGACTTGCTGTACTCGTTGGTGGAAGAGCATTTGCCAGCCAAGTTGCGCGACGTCGCGCTGGACCGCGTGTCCAAGCAAGTACCCCTCGCGTACATCAAGTCGATTGTAGCCGCGAGCTTGGCTAGCAAAATCGTGTACCGCGAAGGGTTGCAGTACGTCGAGTCGCTGCCGGCGTCCAACTTGTCCGACATTTCGGTGGCGTACTTGAAGCAAGAAAAGAAAGTCCAAGCGCTCGTGGCCGAAGTCGAAGGCTCGGGCTTGGCCCACCGCAGTGACATTGCCGACCTCTTGGTGCGCGGTGGCGTCCGCGCCGGTGTCGTCACGTTGTAAGGCGAGTAGCAACAATAATACACATACAAATCAATCGGTTCCACATAGGTGATACAGTACAAAGTCCACAAGCGAACGAGAATGATATTACTAGGACATGGTACACTTGACAAACCAACTTTTGCACATGTGTGATACACAGTACAAAATGACTTCAGTCGATCCAGTATTATATGTACTTCCTCTGTTCCAGGTGACTGCCGACATTTACTTTGAATTGACTGGCCCTCACTCAATTTGGGCGAATGATACTTTGTTGAAAAGAATTTTCGCAAAAGATTGGTTTATAATCTGCGCCTAAAGCAATTGTAAGCCAATGAAATGTCATAAATGTTCGATATTGATAGAAATTGAAGAATTACAGCCAATGAAATACAAATGTCGCCAGTAACTTGGAACATGCGAATTTTGACATGTCGTAATCTGGAACAGAGGAAGTATTGGAACCGTCGGCAAATCGACCGGCGCCTGATCAAACGGGGTTGGCGACCCGTGTTATCTATTCCCATCTAGCGTAAATGACCAATTTAAAGAGACCTTCGTCTCTCAGGACCGGGATTTTCATTCTGAAAAAAAGGTTGGGTATTCTTCTGATTATTTTAACAGCTTGAATCGCTTCATCTTAACGTTCAATTACTTCGATTTCCACTCAAATCAAGGCAAAATAGGAGGGATCCACGGTTTAAGCTTAAAATATGTATGGGGTTATTGCTTATGTTTTGGTGATTTGATATTTCTAGCGATTCGATTGGCTATTCATGAATTCAAGCAATTTCATTGGTCCATTTGAGTGCACTTTAAACTGTCCCGTGCACCATAAACTGGTCATCTACGTTACCAACAAACAAGGCTATGTATATAATATATGTCCTACGCAAGTCATAGTCTCAAACGGGAAGCTTGGACTATATTCACTTCTAACACTGGCGTAACGTTAGGTACATATACGCATCCTTCACTGGACATGCCGCCAAAACCCACTTTCATGTGCTTGCCACTTGAGTCCACTGAACAAAGGCTCGAGAGGTCACGATATCCGGAAACTGATGTGTTATCCAGCACACGAGTGGCATACTGAAACCAAGATATTCCCAGTAACAGGGAACTTTGCACACCCATGCACAGCTAAAAAGGAGGCTCGGTGCGTTCTACCAAAAAGGCGCCAGGGGTCCTCATTCGACCCCTCTTATCGACTGGGAAAGTTGCAGAGCAATCGGATATCCATCGATTTTCGACCCTCGCAGGGGCCAGCCCCTTGGAACCACCCGATTCTCCAGTGAATATATTCGATCATCGCAGACTTTTCCACCTTCAACGTAGAGTGTGAGGAGACTTGCTACGAGAACGCGCTGACCTACTTAGTTATCGCCTTGACGAAGAAGCATATATGGAAGCAAAAAATGGTGAATTCCCAAACATCAGTAGTCGCCACCATTTAAAAAAATACAATAAATTTTGAGTGCTATGGAGTATGTGGCTATGGTGTGGCAACTCAAATCAAGATAATTCAAGATTGACCAGCATACTTTAATCAAATGAAAATGTACCTGACAACTATTTGGGAACATAGTAGTATTGTAGATATAATACATACAGTAGTATTAATAATAGTTTGTAGTTTAATGTGGAGGGGAAGGAAAATTTTAATATGGAGATCTCGGTTCATCGCTTCAATATGGCGTTCTCGGTTCAAATGTTTAATATACAGTATGCCCCATTGAAGATAGATAGATCAACGCTAAACCCAAGTTCTGCATTTCAGCAGAATTAACTGTAAAAAACCCTTACTTTATTTCAGCCGCTAACTATCGAGTTGCAGCACCAGGCCAACGTACCCAGTGCAACCAACAGTTCATCACGTTGCATACCCTATTAGGATGTGAAATGTGAGTACTATGCATCGTGTACTACGGTAGTAGTTGTATTGCGCTTTTTCTCTCCACGTATCGTACAAACGTTCAAAGTGTTGTACGTACTGTATCACATAGCTTTGAATCATCAGACAGAGCGACTACTAGCTAACTACACCCCTAACGTTATACTGGTAAATTACTCGGAGTAGTTGTTAATAATGTTTGTAGTGATCACGGATGGGAGGTCATGAATGTGGCCAAAGCTGCTTCAGTTTAATTGCGGCAAGCACCTTGACACGTATTGACGTAAAACAAGTTGTTTGCCAGATTGAAAACAGCAAACAACTTGTTTTACGAAAGTGCCTGTAAAACCACCAGCAACCAACCAATCATCGCATTAGATCCACTAACTTTAAACAACGCACCCAACCGTTATTCAAGTTACTTTAGACGTTGTTTAAGCCTGGGAATTTTTTAATCATTAACCCGAAAAAGCAAGGTGCAATTGGCAATTTTGTATGAAGCGCAAGGTGGATCACCTTGCGAATTCCATAAATAATTTCAATTAAATATATCTTCAAGTTTGTATTATATATTTCTATTTTGCATGTGTCTGTCTGTTTTTGGAATTCGCAAGACAGGTCACCATGCGAATTCAAAATTGTCCAATTATGTCCAATCAGATGCCGTGAAATCACGAAAATCGCTGTGTAGATACATCACGCCCTGTTGCGATATATTCTACTCCTGTGATGGCGGTGGATGCAAGGAGCCTTGAGATAATTGTGTAGGCTATGTATGAGAGCAAGATTGTGTAATGTGGTATTCAGGACTCGCTCAATTCTAACAGATCTCACTTCACCACTTGCCTACTAGCCCAATGAAATTGGTCATCCTTCAATCCACCATCCAGCCCGTGTCGGTGCCGTACACCTCGCTGCCGATTTGATCACGTGGTTGCGCGGGTGATGGCGCAAGACGTCGTGGTGGCACCCATCGCAAGTGCTTAAATGGCGGCTTTAGCACTTTGCGATGGGTGCTAGCAAGACCTCTTGCGCCACCGCGTTGGCCCACCAGAGCCACCAAGACATTGCCACCCAACCGAGCGCACAACATAATGTTAGCTGTAAGGGGAGAATCACATTGGATAAAGTCGGAGAGCACTCATCAGTGCACAATTCTCTGGAGCAGCGTCACATAAAGCTCTTCTGTCAGTTTTATAGCCAATCGTGTGTAAGAAACAATGTGTGATAGACTCTGATTGGATATTAAAAAGGAGCAAGGTGGGTCACCTTGCGAATTCCATTAACTCATTAGTCGAAAAAAGTCGGACAGGATATACAGGAACCAAGTGATCGTCGGACCGTTTGACCGACTTTCTTGCTCGTTGTGTTGTGATCGAATAAAGTCGGACATCTCATCCGACTCAATTCTGATTGGCTTAAATTCGACCTAATTATCATGTCTTTACTTTTTGCTGTATCATTTGGGGTCACAGTCTGTCAATTCCGGCTTCATTGTGCTCCTACTTACTGTACATCCACAATGTTGAGAAATACTGTAACGCCCAATAAATACGGGTGCCGTACAATCCATTAAGTACAGTAGGGTGTATATACGGAATGCCATAAAAACCTGGAGTACAGCAACGTTTTCTAGCCAGCCGTGCAAATGTGACCATCTTCATTTGGGACATACGAAGCTAGTAGTCAGTGAAACCCCCGGATGATGGCAAATTGGCCATTATATGCCAAATGCAATGCAGCTATAGCCGTGGCCGAGGTGTAGGGACGACCCAAACCAGTGCCAATCGTGCTGTTATAAACGTTTTGGAGCTCCTGCACCGCGAACTTCCACTCACACAATTGCCTTCATTCTTGGTACTGTATTGTCGTTGCTAGCTGGCTGTACAAGATCAAGTTGCGGGACTTGACCAAGAATCAAGGCAATATCTTGTGTGAATGGAAGTTCGCGGTGCAGGAGCTCCAAAACGTTTATAACAGCACGATTGGCACTGGTTTGGGTCGTCCCTACACCTCGGCCACGGCTATAGCTGCATTGCATTTGGCATATAATGGCCAATTTGCCATCATCCGGGGGTTTCACTGACTACTAGCTTCGTATGTCCCAAATGAAGATGGTCACATTTGCACGGCTGGCTAGAAAACGTTGCTGTACTCCAGGTTTTTATGGCATTCCGTATATACACCCTACTGTACTTAATGGATTGTACGGCACCCGTATTTATTGGGCGTTACAGTATTTCTCAACATTGTGGATGTACAGTAAGTAGGAGCACAATGAAGCCGGAATTGACAGACTGTGACCCCAAATGATACAGCAAAAAGTAAAGACATGATAATTAGGTCGAATTTAAGCCAATCAGAATTGAGTCGGATGAGATGTCCGACTTTATTCGATCACAACACAATGAATTTATCCCTGGATTGCCAAAAAAAGGTGCAAAGTACAATACTGGTACTTGCATGTTAGCATTACTATTTCTACGAGTAATGTATTTGATAACCCGCAGGCGACAGAAACTGCCGAGTGGGCAGCGAAAATCACACATATTTCAAATGCATTTTAAATATTCAGAGGATACGGATACTCAGTGTACCCAGTATTTGGACGAATCAAGCTAATTGATCAATGAACCGTCGCACCTATGTACATTTCCGAGATACAAGTCGTTAACCAGGGAGCATTCCACTCAACTCGAACGGTATGATCCATCTCGGTCCAGAAATCGCAGTTTTGACTGCGGCATAAAACGACTTTCAACCACTATCGCCATGTTTCAAACGCGTCTAATTCTTCGAATTCCCTTAAATCAATTGATTTTCGGCGTTTCCAGCATATCAAATATCGAACGCTGGTGGTAAAAAAGCTGTCCAAAACATACCAGTATACAAATACCAAGTATAACCTACAAATATGGACAACCCATATGAGACGGACGGGGTCGAAATGGCGTGCGTCGTACGTGCGTAGGTCTATGTCAGGTGGTCCAAAAGAGGGTATTTTTCGAGAAGAACACCAAAAAGGGGTATATGAGACAATTATTTCCACCCGAAGAAACCCTGTTTTTGTCGTTTGTGGGAATGTATCTGGCAGATATTTCTATTTTAGCCAATCAAAGCGTAGTAGTATTCTGAACCTGGTCCAGAACGGTGTCATATATTGACTCGCTGAAGGATGCAAAATGTGCTCCCAGGAAACCTCGAGACGTACCCTGGTCGAGAGACCAGCTCGTGGCGCATGACGGCGTCCCTAATGAGGGTAGCGCCCCTTCCAATGATGCGAAGGACGCGCTCGTCGACATGGGATACGGACACCGTGCAGACGATGCAGACCTTGGGGGTGCAACGATTGTCGATCCCGAAAGAATTCAACGACAACAACGGCCTTGGCGACAGCGACGAGATGAAACCCCAAGGAGTGGTAAAGTGGTCGATGCTCATCGAACCCCCGCAAGCATGTACGAGAGGGGAACCGACGTCGCTTTCGTGGTCTATGACAGACGACCTTGCCCTGGGGTTCCATCCCACGACTGTGCGCATTGAAGTGTGGAACAAAGCGTGGACTGTCCCGACCGTGATTGCCATGACAGCACCCAACTCTGGACATTACCTCTGGAAACGCGTGTATTGGGGCATGCCGATCAAGGACGAGTACTACATCAAGATTTATGGGGCCGACGACGACAACTCCAACACCCTCTTGGCCGAAAGCCCGTTGTTTGCCATTGTCAAGTGAACATGCATCCACGTCCAACGCACATCACCTCCCATCATCGCGTGTCCCCATGTCCCTCCCGCCAGTTCATGGATGCGTCCGTCTTCATTCCGTAATCCCGACATGCTGTGTCCCCCGATGCCAACCTTATGCCGTCAACATCATGCCGTAGTGTCCTGTGTGTGGTTGATCAATGAACATTTTATTTATTTCATAATCCAATGTTATCCGTATAATCTATAATATATGCGAGTATTGTTCACTTTGACTGTACTGTATGTACTACACTACAAGTATTAATATATCCACAAAATATTAATATACATGTATCCACAAAATATTAATATATCCACAAAGTATTAATAATACTTCGAAAAACAAGCTACTTATCAGGAAAAACCCTACACATTTCGTTCTGTACTACGTACTGTACGGTAAAGTTAATTCACACGCACAAGCCATGATTCACCAACAAATACTTATTAAAACGTAGTACTACTATTAATAGTATATACTACATACCGGTAGGAGTAGTACTATTAATATATCTATTCAAGGTGGTTCATTTATTATAATATTTCACATGCAGTTGTTTATTCTAACAGATCTAACACTTTTCCAGTTATAACCCGACAACCCCGGGCGCATTCTTCATTGACGGCAGCACATTTCGGAGCATGTGATGCAGACGACGGCGCATCTTGGCCAGCCACTTGCGCACGATCATGCGTTTCCTGCCGCGCAAGGACACGAGATGGAGGTCTTCCCTTAGGAACGGATGATGCATGACGTCATGCATTGTTGCGCGCTTGGCGGGGTCCACGGCGAGCATCTTCTCAAGCAAGTCCAGCGCCGGCAGCGGGATCAAGTGCAGCACTTTCCAAGCTCGGAGCACAGACGTGATGCCATGTTGCTTGACGTAGAGGAAGACCGTGTCTGAGTCGTTGGCGCGCGCGAAGGGCGGCGCGCCGGTGAGCAAAATCAGCATCATGATGCCCAGGGCCCACACGTCGACCGGCGCCGGCATGTATCCGTGACGCAAGTACATTTCCGGCGCCATGTAGAACGCTTTCCCGACGATATGCGTCGATCGTTCGTCGATGGTTGTCGCCAAGCCAAAGTCGCACAGCTTGGCGTGTCCTACTCACGTGATGAGCATGTCGTGGAATAGATAAGAGGCACTCATGGACATACCGTTAGCATCGAGAAGGACGTTTTCGAGGGAGATGTCGCGATGGACGTAGCCGCGGCTGTGGATGAAGTGAACGGCATTCACGACCTGTCGGAACACCTTGGCCACGGTCATCGTGTCCATGGGGAGGGTCTGTTCAAAGAGTTCGCCGCCGGCGCAGAACTCAAACACAAAGTGGCCCATGCCGTCTTCTTCAAAGTCGCGGAGCATGCGCATGATGTGGGGATGGCATCCGTCTTTGCCGTTCGACACGGCACGATTCACTTGTTTCTCCATGTCAATGTCTTCGGCGATGGGGATGCCATGGATCGACGTTCGGCTCGTGGCCGCATCCAGGTTCATGCGCTTGATAGCCACCTTCATACCCGTCACATTGTCCACTGCCAGGAGGACCTCGCCATACAAAGCCTTGGCCAAGACCGACTCCTTCGTGTAGCGCTGCATCGCTCCGTAGGAAGTTTGCAAGTTTCGAAGCCAGAACAACGTTGCGGTGTGTTACGTTGCGTCATTTCCGGATACGTTCACTTATCCGGACATTTCTACGCTTTTACAACAGCTGTACTGTATGAACCAAGCAGGGAGCGGCGACTTCAACTCACTCGCCGCATCCATGCGAAGGGACGTTGGAACACCTTCCACGTCGTATGGATGGAGACCCCCCCTTCTTTGGCTAGATGCTGCTCGAAATGATGTCGTGGTGAATCAGACCCCATGGTTGAAAGTGAAACGGTGTAGCCAATGAAACAGGTCATTGAAATGCTTTTTGAGCCAATGAATGAACGACCTACTGTAGGTGTTGTGCCTGCATCCGCAGCCATTAGGTACAGATGTAACTTTCCTATGTACAGTAAGTAGTACATATATGGATGGACTGCTGAACGTTGAAACTCAATACATAAAACACCAAAGTGATGGTTGACGCTTATTCGAGTTACTTTGTAATGCAAAGGCCTGTCGCGTTGGTAGTGTCGACACTACCATTATGTAGCACCAAATCGTATGCTCAAAAGGCAGTAACAATGGTGACGTGAACCAACAATAGTGCTAATGAACTCGAAATGTACATATACTGCAATTGGATTGGCTGGAATCATACAAAGTCATCCAATAGAAAAACAGCATGCCGAAAGGTCGTTACAGAATGGACCATTCAAATCCACAACACAACGAGGCTTGGAAAGGCTGCATGATGAACCAGTCGACCCAAGTAAGTACGTACATTCATCCAATAGAAAAACAGCATGCCGAAAGGTCGTTACAGAATGGACCAATCAAATCCGCTTGTTCTACAACACAACCAGGGTACATGAACCAGTCAACCCAGCCACCACCGCCACCAGACAACAATTTCTTGTCGCCGTCCTCCAAACGCACATTCTTGAACGATGTCACATATCCACGAACAATTGGACTACAACTACATACTAGTAGTACTGTAGAAGTAGTACTAGATACTAGATAGTTGCTTTGAACCAGGGCAAGAATAGAAGGTCAAGTGCACATTTGGTTATTCGATGTAGGTGTATCATTGCATAACGTGCGTTCAGACGAGTCGTCGTGGAGGGTGCCGCAGAGGGTCGACTGGTTGGTTGATCCTACAGCCTTGCGGAACACCCTCTGAAAGAATCTATGGACCCCTCCACTACTACGAGTCTTGTGTTCCATCTTGGAGTGACAGCTACTACCGGCATGCTCGGGAGTGCCCATCATCGCATGCTTGGGCACAGGATGGTGTTGGGGCGGCGTCAGGTACGGATGCCGAAGCACCTATAACGATATCATCGTTATTATGGAGAATGAATCGACACACAACCAAAGAAAGTACACAACAATCGGTAGTGTTTAGCCAATCCGATTGCAGAAAACAGCGATCGTGAATGTCAAATTAGTGTGTGACTTCAATTAGTGTGATAGATACCAATCACCACACAAAAGTCAGTAGTCCAAAGAAAATCGATCGATAGATTTGGCGATTCCGTACAAAAGTCAGCCAAATTTTGAGTAAAACGATAAATAACATGTAAATATGATCGATCTCGACATATTTACATATGTAGGACGTTTGTAATGTTACCTGTGCTACAGACAACCGAGTCGCTGGGATCATGACCAATAGCTTCTCCACTAGGTCCACCGCGTCCATGGAGAAGCGCGGCAATACATTCCATCCACGCAACAGCGCGCGGATGCCATGCCGTTGGAATGACGCAAACACGTGATCTACGGAGCAACTTCTGTCATCATGCATGAGGACGGAGATGACGGAGCGAAGGAATGGACCAGAACTGTGGGCGCGGGCAAACGGCGGCATCCCCGTGTGCAAGATGACGAGCAAAATGCCAAGCGACCACATGTCGGCCTTGGAAGCATCGTACGGCGCCCCCATGTACATTTCAGGCGGCATGTAGAAGAACTTGCCCACTGCCGACGACGATTGCATCCCTGCTGAGCTAGCGCGTTGAACGACCACAACATGACCGACGGACACAGTATGCATTACCATGGAAGGATTCGACGGCGAGGCCGAAATCCATTAACTTGGCCACGCCGTGCGCGTCCACGAGGACGTTTTCGAGGGAGATGTCGCCGTGTGCAATGCCATCTGCGATGATTATGTGTGAGGGAGGGAGGATGGGAGGACGATGATGGAGACGTACGAGAATGGAGGAACGAGAGACCGTGGCAGATCTGATGCGCGTAATGCAGCACTTGCGACGCGGGAAGGTGTTGATGGGGAGCCTCTTGCACCATCGTAAACAGGTCGCCGCGAACGCAATACTCGAGCACAAAGTGTTCGTGGCCGTCCTCTTCGAACGACGTGAGCAACCGAAGGATGTTGCGGTGACCGCCCACTTTGTCGACGTGCCTGTACACTCGTTTTTCGACATGAACGTCCTCTTGCACCTTCATGGGATCGATCGATCGATCGTTAGGGCTGGCGTCAAGGTCAACACCGTAGCGTACCGTCGGGCCTTCGTTGGACTGATGCTTGGCGGCGGCGGCAAGTTGCATCCGTTTGACCGCGACATGCTGCCCATTGGACTTGTTCACACAGAGCAAGATGCATCCAAAGAGCGCCGGCGCCAACTCTCGCACAACCTGGAACTGGTCCATCAACTTGAAGCCCAATAATGGTGTTCTCCGACGATCCTTCTCGACGCCGATTGAACGAACGCATTACTGGATTGGTTATAATGTTCTAAAATAAGAACACAGGATTGGCTGAAATTGTTGTGCATAGTCTATTTATAGATACCGAGCTTTGATTGGCTACAATTCGACGATTGCGACCAAAATCACACCAGCAATCAACTCTACAAAGCCAGCCAACTTGTAGCCGCCATGTACCTCGCGGGGGTGGCTGAAGGAGGACTTCCTTGTACTTCATTGGGTTCAGTTCAAAGAATGAGCCGAGATGAATCTAACATGCTTGATCTAGGTGGTAAATGTGAGTACAAGTATATCCCAGACATATCTATGAACCTGGTTGCCTTGCACCGCCAAGTGCGTTGCGTTGAAGACAATGCACTTGATACATACGTGGACAAGTTATGCATGCTGAGATACGAGAGAGATTATTCGCCGTCGTCGAAGTATAGCATAGCATACGTATCGTAAGGCGGCGACGGCCAAAGCAGCACCAGCGTCATATACTGCTACCATAACAACGACCATAACATCATGACGAGGTCCAAGCGGGATCGTCCATAAAGATTGAAAATGTGTGGCGGAAAGCCTGAATGTATTTTGCTCGCGTTACAGTATGACGTTAAGTGATTTCCTCCAAAGTCTAGGAGTTTGTATTCTCCCATTCATAATGTGTGTGCTCACGCCTATTGATTTCTCTCACAAGCAGCACGAAATCGGCAGACAATCGATATACGACCAATCAAAAACCAGAACACGAATCAAGTAGCCAATCAAATCCACTATTCGACCAATGCAACATCGAATTAGTGTGTGACTGAAATTCGTACGATCTTTATAACTCAGTTGACAGTGAAGCGGTATACAGTATTTGTGACTGCAATGCATCAATCAATCTTTTTAGCCAATCATATTGCAACCTTCATTCTTTGTAGCCAATCATACTCCTTTGCTCGATTAGTTGGCGATTTCATCCGTCGGAGTCAGTATATGAAAATTCGAATTGTTCGGCAGTTGATTCAACAAAACTCCTGGAGGAAACTATGAGTAGAACACACAATACAAAAGGCAGGACAAAGAATCAATCGATAGATTTGGCGAATCAGCACAAAAGTCCAAATTTGGGGTAAAAGGACAATACCTGCGATAGCCTCCTTCCTCCTACGGACAGTAGACCAGTTTATCCCTTTCGTGATAATATACAAAATCTAATTTTAGTTTCCGGTGGCGCCATTGGATATCTCGTTCGTCCCATCCCTGTCGAGTATGGCATGGTGCAGCCGCACGTCGAGGAGCCAGAATCCCCCGGGGGTCGGGCACGCCACGACGGCGGCGATCGGTCCTGGTAGCTACAACACCGCCATAGGGGGGGGGTCATCATCGAAACCCCCCAAGCCGAGCTTCGCCGCATTTGGGTCATCTGGGCTCAAAGACGCGTACCCCGAACTGCCGCTGCACACCCCCGGTCCAGGCGCGTACGCCACCACAAGTCCCGCAGCGTACTCGGTCCCACGGGGCGAGCCCGTGAGCAGCATGTTCAAGTCAAGCACGGAACGCACCAAGTTTAAGTCTGCGTCTGCGGCGCCAGGACCTGGCGCGTACGCCGCCGCGCACCCATCTGCATTCAAGAAGTCTAAAGCCGCGTCCGCCGCCAAAGCAGCAGCATCGTCCATGTACGATAGAAAAATTACGTCAAGGGGAAACAGGATTGGTTTGTGACTGTCGGCGATGTATGTAGGCGGCGAAGCCAGAGCGACCATACCACGACGAATAAGCACAATGGCGGGGGGATCAAGTGGGTGCGGGTGCCCACAGCGCCGTCGATTCCAAACGTCGCGCAGAGCTTTGGCTACGAAGAAGGCCCGAAAGGCCAGATGATACTCCAACACCCGACGAGAACAGGCCACAGGTACTGTACATCGCGCCCTTTCTACGTGTTCCCCACACTTTACAAGTCAATTTTCTCTGGTATTATGATTCACTTGTTCGGGTTTTTGTTTAGCGGTTGTGCCAACGATGTGTCTGGGCCGGGGGAGTATGATCCGTTGACAGCGATCCATCGGTTAGCATGTACCCGGGCGACGAGTTTTGCCAAGAGCAAGACCAGCCGCGACCAAAAGCCTAAAGCTGCCAGTGCGCCCGGACCTGGGTTCTACCACCCAGAAGACCACGATCATCACGCTGCAGTACAAAGCGCCGTGTTCAAGTCGACTCTAACCAGAGAGCGGGCGACGAACCCCATGACACGAAGAACGGCGTCGTCGGCTGTGCCCGGACCAGGCAGCTACAACGCCGCTGCGACACCGTTGGGCCAAAACGCGAAAAAGCCCGAGCATTTGCAGTTCTTTGGCAGCACCACGTCACGGTTCGACGCGGTCAAGAAATGGGGCTCGTCGTCCCCGTGTCCATCTTCAACGTCCACCCCGTTCAAAAGCCAAAGCCACCACCGAAACCAGCACAACATTGGGTTCACGTCCACCAATAAACGCTTTGTCGATACGAGTCTAGCTAGGGAAATGTGTGACGTGGGTCCAGGGACGTACCACGCATCTGGACTGGTCGAAGAACTTCAGCATCGAGTGGTAAGAAAGTAAACGGTGACGACAACCGTGACGACGATGTATGAGTACCATGATGTTGATGACAATGGTGGCAATAACGATACGTGTGCCCATGATATGTCTGTCATAACCTTGAAGTATGAGTATTGTGTCTTTTTATTGTGCTTTCGAGTAAAATTTCGTGTTGTGTCGTTGGAATTTAAATCGATTTGATTGGCTACCTCAGATGAGCTCAACATTATTAGCCAATCAAAACCTTCTCAATGAAAATTCAACCAATCAGATCGATTGTGGATCGGTTTGGTCTTTGGTCAGCGCGATTCGATTGCACCCCCTCCCAAATTTGTATCAAATCGACAATACCCCAAATTTGGACTTTTGTGCAGAATCGCCAAATCTATCGATCGATTCTTTCTACTGAAATTTGTATGTAACAAGGTGTTCTGTGGCGAGTGATATCATACTAATTTAATTCACACACTAATTTGAGTAACGTTACATTTGGTCATTCGCCATTTCCGACTATGATATGACAACGGGGGCCACGAATATCGTGATGATAATCATGGGGTGATGGTGACGACATTGGTGTCAACGAAGCCCTATAAAATGACGATACCCATACATGGTGCTATATACCAGTATGACTTTTGAATATAGTGATGGCAATATACATGGTGACTCTGACACTGGTAGAGTGGACGCACGGGGGTATTTGGCTCAACGACCAAGCGATTTGAAAGCCCGATGCCTGCGTCGGTGCTGCAGTCCGTGCTCGAGTCATCTCCCCCTCGACCAAGCAACCAACAAGGTTCACACCTCATCAACACGATCCACATGAACACTTCATGTGTACGATATAGATGACAAAGGGGGTGTCCCTGTCAAGAGCTCGGCGTTTGCGTCGGCGACGAGTCGGTTTCAGAACCCTGCGACGAAGGACGCAGTGCCGTGCCCAGGAGACTATGAGGTTGGTTGGACGGAAAGAGGAGGATGCTTCGAACCAAATATTCGCAGGCAACATGTGTATTCGTGGTTTTGCTTAGGTTGCCATGACGTGGGACAAGCCTGGTGGAAAGGCCGTGTTCGCGTCGCACTTGGATCGAGGGAGCGCTTTGGACAAGAAGAGCGCCGCGATGCCGGTACGATTCGAGTCTTGAGCGAACGTGAATGGATCGATGTCACATGTCGGATGGCGCGTAACTAGGGACCGGGGTCATATGCAGCGCCCGACTCGATGTTGAAGAGCGCGAAACCCACCACGCAGCGGAAAGACGTGTTTGTGTCGACGGTATTCATTGACGAGCATGCGAGGGTGATGATGATGACGACCTCATCCACGGTCGTCGACCGTCGTAGGAGCCGCGCTTCAAGAGCAAGCTGGCGCCGCTGGCCAACCTGGTACGAAGATCTCCATGCTCTTCTCGTGTGGTGACTCACAAGCTCTTGTTGGTGCAGGGGCCGGGCGCGTACAACCCAGACACGATCGAGACCGACTGGAACCGACCCACGTACAACATCACGATTGCCACGGAAATGGAGAAACGCATATAGCAAGAAATAGTGTTATCCAACACGAATTAGTGTATTGCCACACCAAATAGGAACTCAATCGTGCTAAATAGTGTATGATTCAACCTTTTGTTGGTGTTATGGGTCGTAGTTTCATCCGGATAAATCGTATCCGGAGTGGATCCAATTGTGTGTTTCGGCCAGGACGACCGACGACAGTGCGATGGACATGCAGCATGAGTGGCAGGCGGACTCCAGTGACCCCATGGAGAAGATGTACGCCGCTCATGGGACTGGGAGCGGGGGAACGAAAACGACGGAGGAGTATACACGGTATCGTCTTCAGGAAACGTTGACCCTCATGGGATGTCGCCGGAACGATGCGATCACAGTGACGGGTCTCGTGTTTGCACATTATCATGCGCATGTGGAGGCTTCTGCGGTGACGGCACTTCCGTGGACGTTTCAGACCCTCCAGCAGTGTGTGTACGCTGAATTGGCCAAACTCGAGTACACCAAGCCGACGCACTTGTTGGATTTCGACCTGGCCAAGGAGATCACCCAGCGCAACACGTCGTTCGTCGTATTGTTGGGCGGGACGTCCGGGACCGGCAAGTCCACGCTCGCGTCTCTCTTGGCGTCTCGTCTTCGTCTCACCACCGTACGTCGTCTTATCTCTTCTTCCTCGTCCTTTCCTAGACGATTGACGGTACGTAGGTGCTGCCGACCGATTCGGTACGACACATCTCTCGCGCGTTCATGACCAAGGAACAACACCCGTGCGCTTTCACGTCCACGTACCAAGCAGGGGACGCGCTCACCCCCGCACAAGTCGACGAACTCGCGACCATCGCCACCGGCGACATGAACACTATCATGTCGGACAAGCGCCTGCATAAGCGCAAGGTGCTCAAGGGGTACACCCTCCAGAGCGACGCCGTCCTCGAGAAGCTCGACTTGGTGCTCACCATGTTTGAAAAGCGCAAGCAAAGCCTAGTGGTTGAAGGTACCCCCCCCCCTCAATTTGACATTTTCGTCAAAACAGTGCTAATTTTGGACCATTTGGCACGATTTTGGACAAAAACGTTGAGTTTTGAACGAAAATACGTCGAATTTTGGACGAAAATACGTCGAATTTTGGTCGAAAACGTCGAAGTTTTTGGACGTGAAAGGATGTTTTTGGTGGACTTTTTTGTAGACGTGGTGGGCCTGTATGTTGATGGATATATATATATTCGATTCTGGTCGAATCAAGGAAATATATATATATATATATATGTGTGTATATCGTAGGCGTGCACTTGAACACGGAGCAAATGGCCGAGCTTGTGCGTCGGCATCCGAATTGCATTCCGTTTGTGATTTACATCTCCAACGAAACCAAACATCGCGAGCGGTATCGTGCGGTGGATGCGTTAACACTGTTTTTGTTTTACGTTGTGTGTGTGTGGGTAGGTTTGCCGTGCGCGCCAAGCACATGACGGTGGACCCCCAAGAGAACAAATATATCAAATATTTCGATAATATTCGCATTATCCAGCGCCATTTGTGCAAAAATGCCGATAAATTCCTTATCCCCAAGGTGGACAACACCAACGTCGACCGATCCCTTGTCACGATCCAGACTACGCTCATTCGAGCGCTGCGCAAGCAAATGCGAGGTATATATATATATATATATATATATGTATTTGCTCGATATCACACTAATTCAAGCATCACACACTAATTCAATATCATGTGGACAATGGTGTGCTGTAATACTGTATCCCATTGGCTCAATTCTTGTGATTCTTCTACATGTATATTTGGTTGTGTATCGAGGTAGATTTCGATATATATATATATAGTTGACTAGTCGTCTATATTGTGCACTATACTTGGCTATTGTATTGTTGTTGACGTGATTTTTGACGTGCATATGTCATTCGGGTATTGTTTGACATTTCAAGGTTGTTGTTTGTGGGTAGAAATGTAAGTAGATGGTCCTCGAGTGTGTCGCCTAGTGTTATGGATATAAATATATATATATATATATACGTATTTTGTTCTGTATTTACATATATATATTTATATATAATGTTGTATCTAGGCGAAAGCATGGTGGACGGCGCAACGGGCAAATTCGTGCTCTTGTCAAGAGAGCATGAAAATGCAATCAAGAAGGCCTGGTCTAGCAAAGGGGTACTATAATTGGACTACTTCATCATATATTCATATTATCCTTTGATATCTATGATTAATAGTTATATGGCCATGTATATCATATTGGTTATAGTGTATCTAATGGTGATCTGGACTTTTCTAGTTTAACGTGGGTATTATTAATATATATATATATATTTGTCTCTTTATGTGCACACGACATGAAACTTCAGTGTATATTGCAATCGTAGTTTACTTTCGACTATTATATATATGGCTATTTGATATATAAACAAACTTTTGAGGGATATACCAGTGTATGTTTGTTGTTATTGGACACGATACTACGATGAAATAGGTTATAAATCGGGTTGGATGCAGGAAGGAATAACATATTTTGTCAATATATATATATCAATATATTTCTATTTTTGTGTAGGTGCGCAAGGCAATGCGGCCATTGATCAAACAGCGCGTGTCCAAGCGACTGCTATTACGTCGATTGCTCGCCGAACAAACCATGTCGGACCAGTGTCCCTTGCATGATGACAGGTATTTCTTTAGAAAAAAAAAATATATATATATATTTATGGATAGTTCGTCGAGCGATGAAGACAAGGCGGACGATGTTCGAGACGGGGGATGGCATGGCGTGGAGGAAGAGGACGAGCAGACGACTGTCGTGGGCAGTCTCTTGAGTCTACGGGACAAAACGCAACCAACCACGGACGACGTACGAATCTATATATATATATATATATATATATATATATATAATAACAACATTTATATATATATATATAATAACAACATTTATATATATATATATAAGGACAACATTTATATATATATATATATAAGGACAACATTAATATATATATGATGACAACATTAATATATATAAGGACAACATTAATATATATATATATGTCAATCTTGGTTATTTCTATCGTCTGTATATTTAGCCTTGTGTTCCATGTGTTTTGTGTTGTTTTGATTGGCGGACCTGCGTCAAGTTGTTTTGATTAGTAAATGTACTACAGTAGTTCCTTGTAAAGTCGTCTAATATTGGATATGATAAATATGAAAGATATTGTCCATATTAATATTTGAAATATCATTTTTCCAATATAAAAGATATTGTCCATATTTTCATTACAGTCCACAACTAGGACAATTCGGAGCAACTGTCAACGGCGATCCAGCGGGTGGCGCTGTGGCGGGCGAGTCTGCCAAGTCCATTTGAAGGTACGACGGTAAAATATAAAGCAAAAGGGGACGACATTTGGAGTGTGTGATATATTTGTTTCTCCTGGTAGAGTTGCCTGCGCCGCACTTTCTAGACGGGACCAACCCGGACGTGACGTTTGAAAGCACCGTGGCCGAGATGAAATTGCGCTGGCGTCGGAATGAACGCTCACGGTCGTGGCTTGCTCCGGCGTCGCCCACGTCTCCGTTTGCCAAAGGTACGAAAATGATATATATTGTATTGGGATGTGGAATATATATTTGTATTGAAATCAGCTTTTGATGGGAATGGTAGGTTCGATGAGTGTTGTGTACGATGCATCGACGCGGGCGACGTTGGCCAATCGAAAGGCGACACGGGTACGTCGTGGTCTAACAAGAACTATCTGTTGATCGAGAGATTTTTGTATATATATATATATGATTAGATGTGATGGGATATATGCGAAATATGGACGAGAATATATATATATATATATGCAGCGTGAGGGTAGCATCTATCCTTCTCGTGGTTGAGGGTAGTTTGTGTTGTAATACCTGATATCATTGGTATTGCAACGTTATCAATTGGATGTTCATCATGCTGAGTGGCATATTTTATATATGCCATAAATATAATATATATATACTTTGAAAATATATTTCAACACGTATCGCTAGCTAGTTGCATACATACATCCGATCATCGAAATAAATACATTTGTTCTACCTTTGGCGGATTATTATTCATGGTTATATATAATATATATATATATATAGCTCCGTCCGTCGTCGTCGTCCCCGAAGAAACAGCACGCGATGCGGCGCCAGACGGCTATAGACAGCACATCCTTCCACCCGCCGTCGTCGCCCCGTCGTCCATCCCTCCATCGCGCCATGACCATGGGACTGGTGTCATCGCCGCCGCCTTCCGTGGACTTCGACAGCGTGTCGGTAGCTGCTGATGCGATCGACGACGACGACGACATGGAGGACATGCTGTCGGACCAAGGTATGAATATATAAAGCCATGACACAAACAGCTAGGTGTATATATATATATATAAGTAGGTGCATCATCGCCGTTGGCATCATCGCCTTTGGAACGCAGCGTGGACGGCGAGTGTCGGTTTGAATTGAGTTCGGAAAGCGGATTGGACGACGACGACGACGACGTGGATGACGATGTGACGGCGTAATGTGTGACACTGGTTGCATCCCCAGGATAGATATAATACTACTATTCGATGACAACTTGTACCACCTCTAAGTCTTATATGGAAAGAGAGACAGATTGTCACGGGAATACATATACGATAATGCAAACTATTAGTAGTACTACGAATCAATAGTACTAGTATAGAATACGAAATATTAATTATATATAAATCCTCGTAATAAAATTGATTTTTCAGGCAAAACGTGAGGTGAAACGTCGAGATAATTTGGGACGGAGTAGAATGTATATATATATATATATATATTGGGACACATGGAGTTGAGTGCTCACGTAGACTGTAGTAGTTCGTATAGTAAGTAGTACTGTATATATATATAATATACATACATGGAATCCGAGGGTACGGTACTACTTCCCACGCTTGATGGTAGAGATGCTCCATGTGTTTTGAGATGGTTTGATAGCACCGATATAAGCCAACAACATACATAGGTCTTGATTTCGAGGTAATATATTATTTTAATAATTACAATTATTAGTACGAGGATAGCAATTTATTCTTCGTAGTACTACTAGTACGGAATTAATACATCGTACTTAATACATAGTAACCGAAATACATGGCCCTCACTGCGACCCCGAGACACTTACTCATCAACAACATTAACCAAAAGGCAAAACAATAATATTGGACTCGTAGCCACTCTGTGCTACTGTTCAAACACGGCGAAAACACTTTGTGTGATGCCCATACTGCTGTGTTACAGGAAGGACCCAGTACCGAGTAGAGTGGGCCGAGCCCAGAATCCACCGCTCCATGACGTTGCCCCCATGTATATCCACCAATGCGCTTCACGTGGCTAGCCATACATACAGTAATAGCCGATCAGTGCAGAATGAATCGTCAATATGCGGTATCCTTGTATATGTACTGTATGCGTGGTAGACAGACCCGTGGTCATTGGGTCTATGTACTTGCAGCAGCGACGACCAACTAACTCTATGGACAGTGTGCTGCATTGAGATTCTCGCCTATTTAGCAAAAGTACACGTAAACACAAGCGGTCGAATGTTCAACGTGTAAATCGTTTTACGCTACGTATATCTTTGAAAAATTCCCGTTTTTGCCTCTTGTTTGGGCGGTTAGGTTGGCTATTCTAGGGATTATTGATTGGCTACGTAGTACTTGCTCTGTTCCAGGTTACTGCCGACATTTCAAAATTCGCATGTTCCAAGGTACTGGCGACATTTGCATTTCATTGGCTGTAATTCTTACATTTGTGACATTTCATTGGCTTACAATTGCTTTAAGCGCTGATTAGAAACCAATCTTTTGCGAAAATTCATGCAATTCCCAAAGTATCATTCGCCCAAATTGAGTGAGGGCTCGATTGTGTGTGTGTCCAAAGTAAATGTCGGCAGTAACCTGGAACAGAGCAAGAAATCATTTATTTTTGCTCTTTAAATTGGACGATTACATAACTTTCGACCAAAACATTCTATTTGAACCGCGAAATTGGGCGCTTGGGAACATGTCTTTCACTTATTCGGTTTCTTTTTCTTGGCCCAAGCTGGAAACGGCGATTGGATGGCCTTGATCGCCCGTTTCTGGGGGGTATCTGGTGGTTGTTGTTGATATCGAGGGGACCACCTTTTCTGCGTTGCCATGTGTTTCCGCTCCGAGTCGACCGCAGCTGGCAGTTGTTGTAGCACTTGGAGCAGTTCTTGGCCAAACATTTGCGGTCGATCTGCAGCCGACGGGCTCCGCAGTAGCGAAGCAAACACTCGCTTTTCTACGGGAAGCCCTTGAAACAGTTGGTTGGTTGGTCGTAGGAGCATCTCCCGTCGAGATTCGACGCCTTGATCTTGCTCGGCCAGTGCATATTCAGCGTATTGCCGAAGCACCTACCAATATATTTTGGCATATTGTCGATTCGAAATATTGGCCAAATCGACAGACAATATATCGACCAATCAAAACCCAGACATCACGAATCAATTAGCCAATCCAGTTTGAAGCCAACACCGAAGTAGTGTATGACTTCAAGTAGTGTGATATTTTTATATTGTAGTATATACAAATGTAAGGACAAAGAATATCGATTGATAGAGTTGACGAATCAACCTAAAAGTGAACCAAATTTTGGAGAAATATGGAGACAATATTAAAAATCACCAATGCAGTTGTTTCACAAACAAATAGCCTCCTAGTCGGTTTGAACCGAAACTTGACAGGGATGTAGTAGTAGTATTACTAGTAGTACTAGTAGTAGGGCTTACCTCCATGCGGCCTTCTAGCGGAGACAAATGCTTCCATATATGTGCATCGCCAAATAAACTCGCGTCGATGTTGGTGAATGCAAACGGATCATCTCGTGCCAGTCGCCCCATCATCACGCCTATATAAGTCGTACGGTATTCCACTTCAACGCCCATATATATATATATATATATATAAAGCCAAAAACATATTTTTATTATCTTTCCGTGCAATCGCCATACAAACAACAGCTCGACATACATGAATGTGGTCGAGTCCTCTGCGACAACGTTGGTACAGTAGTATCATCCATAACTCGTCAAGAAATCAATCACAAACATATATATATATATATATATATATATATATATATACATCGCGCTTGAGTGTATATATGTGACACTGTACCGTCGAGGCCACAAGGGTGGGCTAAATGTGTTTGCATGTCGTCGATGGATTTGATGCCGCCGTTGATTTCAATGTGGACATGCGGCATCTCTTGCTTGAGTCGATACACCCATTCATGGCGCAGCGGCACGAGCTCGTCCAGCCGATTCTGCCGAGTGCTGATGCCGTCCAGAAGCGCCTTCCGCGCGTGGACTACAAATCGGTTGCACCCTCCTTGCGCATGCAGTCGGCCGATGAAGTCGCGGAAGAACGGGTAGTCGTCATGCGAGTCGACGCCGATGCGGACCTTGACGGACACGGGCGTGTCCAGCTGGGATGTCATGGTCCTGACGAGGTGCGTGATCTTGTCGTGGGGGGGTTTCATCAGCGTCGCGCCAAAGTTGCGCTCTTGCGCGGTGCCGGCCGGACATCCGAGGTTCAGGTTGATCTCACTGAAGCCTGCGTCTTGGCACTTTCGAGCCGCGCCCATGATGTGACGGACGTCGTTACCGCCGAGTTGCACGGCCAGCGGCAACTCCTCCGGTCGAAACAGAAGCATCTGAGCCACTTCATGCCGCTTGCGCTGCGCCACGCGACGCGCGAGGAACATGGGCGTGTACAGCAACGTCCGCTTCGTCATGATGCGAATCAACGACCGGAAGTGACGATCTGTCACGTCCACCATCGGCGCCACACTCACGATCGGCACTCGCGACGACGGTGAAGAAGACTTCGCTGGCTTCCTTGCCATTGTTAGCGCGCCGCGGTCAATGTGATGGATTGATTGGCGTAATAATGCCCAAATAGGCGTATCGAGTTCTGGAGGATTACATAGATTCATAGAGGTTTTTTCAATCAACAGCCAAGGTTTAGTTCGTCGCTCCTTTGTGAAGGCTAATTCAGGTACATTGAGATCATGCATCGTTTGTACGAAGTGGACAAGAGGCCACAGACCGCTCCCAGCGGCGTGAAGTCAAAGGGTGTATATCGAGCATTAGACTCTGGGGCTTGGAGCATGCAGTATTGTAGTTGCCTCGAAGTACTTCGCTCGAAATGTTAAGTCTGACCAGACATGCTATCAATATGACTTCGAAACTTCAGTGGCATCGGAAGTTGGATACAGTATGTTGTGATGCAAGTGGTGGCTAGGATTGAACTAACTACTAGTATAAGCAAGCCTCAAGTTCTAGGACTTCGGATCGTGACCTTTGAAGATCCAGCAGTGGCCAATGAATGTCTCGATGGTTTACATGGTCAGGATTGGTGATTAATCGGATTCAACAACCAATCACAGTAGAGTATCACGTGAAATCTAGAAGGAACGCTCGCTTCAACAACAATGCATGTACAGAAATGACATCCCACGCACCAGTAGATGTGGGGATCAAGACACTGTTCCATGCGCTATGGCCGTGCGCAGTGTACCTATGCCTGTCACTGAGCATGAACATCTTTACCAAAACCATCATCACGACGTACAAGTGGAACTGCGTGTACTCGCTGGCGGCTATCCAGCACCTCTTCACAGTCGTGACGCTTACATCCGCGCACAAGCTCCGCGTGATCACACTTCCAGCCATGTCTGCCGCCTGCTTCTTTCAAACGGCTTTACCCATGGCGGCACTGCATTCCATCAACAACATCGTTGGCTTTGTGTGCATGGGTCTCGTCAACATGCCCATGTACGCCACGTTCAATCACTCTGTCAACCTAACCTTGCGATATCTCCGTTAGGTACCTCGTCCTCCGTCGACTCACGACGTTCAAAGTCATGCTCTTGGAAATCATGTGGCGCCACGAAGCCATTCCTGATGCCATGAAAGCATCCCTTCTACGTACACACAACCAACTCCTATTCACTCATCATCATGCCATCAGAAACCAACTCCACTCATTTACATGTGTGGCCGTCTTGGCTGTGTAGTTGCTGCAATTGGTAGTGTCATAGCTGGGTTCAACGATGCCACCTACGATGGCTACGGGTACTGTGCCTTAGTCACATGCCTATCAACTCATCTGTCCAAACATATTCACCTTGTAGCTACGTCCTCGTGCTAGCGCAGAACTGCTGCACCGCCCTCAACTTAATTCTGGCCAAACAGTCGACCCTCGCTCCTCTCACGCTAGTGTATGTGCACAGTACCGTGGGCGTGGTTGTCTGCGGTCCGTTGGCTGTGTATTTGGAGCGCGCTCAAGTAGCGCACTTCTTCTCAACGTTGGCCGACCCCATGTCGTTCTGCGCCTTATTTGCCGTCATGAGCATCGTGTGCTTGATGTACCAAGTGGCTATTCACGTGTGCACTGTATGTGTTACCACTGACTGCTATTCAAATCTCAAGTAATCGTTGGTTAGGTTCGCACGTCTCCACTGGCTACGTCTGTAACTGGCAACATCAAAGACTTGGCATCTACCGGGGCTGGCTACGCCTTGTTTGCGGACGTAGTCGTGACGTGGCTTAATGTGCTGGGCGTGGCCATCTCGTTTATGGGCGCGTATGGGTTCTCGTATGTCAAGTACCACATGTTGTTTAAGCCTCAGTCAAGTGTGTTGGGCCCGTGGTGGCCTCGACGCTTCTCAGCCCATAAACTGCAGCATCTCGTGCTCTCGAAGCCCAAAGCATTCTAATCGATACTAGTAATCCTAGACCAGGTTGCAATGCTGTACATGTTCAACTGGTACTGTATGAGGGGGTGGGTTGAGTAGACTTGGAGTTCCTGTAAGCTTAGTTCAGCATCGAAGGCGCAACCATCCAAATCGACCAAATGACTTGGTTTATGGCTTTACACATCGCGTGCTCAACTAGTTTCGAACTGTAGCTGGTAAAACAAGAACGAGATAGTTAGCCACGTTTTGTTCCTGTACAGTACACGAGTAGTAAGTAGTACAGTGTAGTACTACGCAAAGCAAACAACATGTATTGGACATTGAAAACGAAGCTTTAGAAATGGAATGTAGTGACTAATCCGTGAGGACACCCGAAGTGATACCTTTCTTGGGGGACGCGATCAAAAAGTTCGGCCTTGAGGTAGCAGCAGTTGCCTTGGTAGTACGAGTACAGTACAGTACCCCTGTGGATGGTTAACCACAACACGAACCAGTCATCGTTATCACGTGCAATGTGAGCAATGTCGTTGCCGTACTAGTCCTTGTGGACTTGAGCACAGTGGCAGCCTTAGCACCCCAGTAAGGGACAGCAGACTTGCCAGCGTTCCACTTCACAAAAAGCACGTGTCGTACTTCCAAGGGGTCTCCACACATACGAAACATATCCTCGTTCTTGTGCAAAAGTAAGTCACAATGCACGTTAAGCAAGCTCCGGGATTAACCCTACCGAAGTCATGAAGAGTACTAGGACACTAGGACATAAGCCCCCCCCCCAGCCAGCCAGCACGTATTTCAATGTACGAATCACATGTTAATATTTCAAAGTTTTTTAAATTTTTAGAATCAATAATGCTTTTTAAAAACAAATTGAATTCCTGTACACTTAAAAGTATTGATTTTGATTTGTTTAATAATAATAATGTTGTAAAACTACTTATCTCGGCAATCGCTCTCAACGTGTATTGATTGCTGAACTGTAAAGTAATACTCTCGTAAGAAATATGGACCGACCACAACGACTGGAACGAGTGTTTCTACACTGTATGAGCTGAATGTACGAGCTACTAACGGTAGAAAGTTACTTCCAAGTAAACTAACTACTACTGTAGTAGTTAACTTACTTACTTGGAAGTAACACCTACTAGTAGTAATATAAGTAGTAGTAATATACTTCGCAGTAATTAATGAACGCATTAGCGAAGTACTAATCTCGCGATTACCACTAAACACATTTCGATGCTATTATTGCCAACTTATGGACCGAGGCCAGCCACACACTCTTCTGAAAATTGATTCGTTTCACTTGAAAACTATGGCTTCGACACCGGTAACGTCAATAATTACTGTAGAAAAGAGTGGTTCTAGTTAAACGAGGCTAGTTATTCTTATCTTGGAGGTTTTCCAATTGTTTTAATCTAGACGAGAGTTGGCGACTAGGACAAGTACAGACTTGTGGCAAACACAACGTCGCGCTTGATGCTTTCCGACGCAATTTCCATCTTGCGGTACAACCGGGGGTCCCCAATCACCTAAGAATAGATATATATATACCCCCGTTGAATATCATAAATCACAATAATATATACATATATCAGAATATATATCATAATGGACTTACCCGAGCGGCGTTGCGAACTTCCCGACACACTTCGTCCAGTCGCGTGATGCAGCGCACAATCGACCCTTCAGGTACGTCCGTCAATTCGCAAATGGCCTTGAATGGCATGCCTATCATCCCATGTGAAAGAACATGTTCTTTGATATATATATATATTATGGGGACAAATAGCCTTACCTCGACTCCACTCGTACACGACTTCCATGAGCCCAAAGTTGAGCGTCGACTTGACGTATTCATTGGGGTCGATTTCCAAATGCGCTTCCAGTTGAATCAATCCCAACGACAATGCAATCGCTTGCACCTAATAATATATCCAACCCATCAATATATATATATATATATACATCATACCGTTGTCTGCGCTTCCATCAACCGAGGCGTCAACGTGGTGGCATTTTGGGTCTTTTCCTGAAAGATCAGCGCCGACAGCACCGACACGATTTCTTCCGGTTCCAACGACGCCAATACATTTTCAAAGATGATTTCCGTCAAAATCAATTCCTCACACGTGTTCACTTCACACGCCACGCGCCCTTTGACCTAAATATATCAAAACATATATGTTTATATCCCGAATATATATATATATATATATATATACAAATAGGAAACCAATCGATTGCCACAAACTATCAATATCTATGGCCATAATACGTCGACACAAATTGGAAATCACACTAGGTGGAGACCAATCAATTGGAAAAGTATCAATATATATATTGACATGACGTCGATTGGTGCCCCTTGACATAGATATATCGATACATATAAACATGTATCCCATCGTATATATATATAATATTCTCACACAACGAAAGAGACCAATCGATTGTATCAATATATATATATATATACTGGACGACGTACTTGGACAGTGTTGTCTTGGGCAATGTAGCCCAGTCTTGTGAGCACCTTAAGACGCTGCTGAAAGTCGGGGAACAGAGACAGCGAATGGTTGGACAGCGCCGCAGTCATCCCTGCCACGTACTCGCGCAGTTTGGCAATCTATTGCCATATTATAGTTCAAATCCACAAACCATCATGTACACTTTCATACGTAATATATATATATATATAGCAAATGTGAGTAGTATATAATACCTTGGCAAACTGCCCCAAGACTGGCAGTACGAATGGCGAGTTGAAGCACACGTTTTGCTGCATAAGGCCATACATGTGCTGAATGTTACTGTACACGCCGACCACGTCGATGTCATTCATTTTCAGATCCGCACGGGGGTCCAGAATGTACCTACGTAAATCCATGTCATATATATATATAATATATATATATATATATATATATACAATCCAAGAAATATATATCAAAAAGGATTGGTATATGTATGTACTTGATCTTGGGCTCCATGTCCACAAGCAGTTCCATCGCGCGAGACAGCACCGACACGTCGGACGCTTCGAGCAAATTGCGCACCGCCGTGCTTCCCTTGTCCTACGACCATATTTCAATTGTTATGCTCGAGAGGACACTAAAATTCGACCAAATCAATCGACTTTGACAAATACTATGTACTTTAGAATGACGTTTTCTAGCCAATATCAAAGTGCTGGATGAACCAATCATCGATTCGTTATAGTTTAGCTTCCAAGATGTTCATATCTTGACTTGTGTATGTATATATATACATATACCCCATATATTAAAAATATACTTTAAACAGGATACTTGAATATATTGATTGTGCCCAGTCCACATATATCAACGACAAGACATGAGTATATTTGTGTTTATTTGTGTCTTCAACACTGGAACGACGTGCCGAATGTATATATATATACGACACAACCAAATGTTGCAGACGAATCATCATCGGCCCAAGCATTCTATTTAGCCAATCCGATTGCACCAAACCATCAGTTCAACCAATCAACAACTACTTCGTGTGATGCCAACTTCAGTGCAAACAAGTGATCGATGGATACCTTGAATTTGGCAAAAATCCACATAGAAAAGGTCTATAGTTTCCAGCAACGAGAATACCCAATAATTAATACCTGGGTTAAGAGGTCCACACAAGACTCTGGTAGCTCCAGCACGACATAATGCTTGCCCAGCAGCGACCCCGTGTCGCCCACTTTCAGTCCAGCGGACTTGGGCTCCCGACGCCCTAGTGGGATCAGCATACCCGAGCGAAGATGGGAGGGGGCAGTGTCGGCGGCGGCGGCGGGCGGCGGCGAGTACGATGCCGGACACAGTGCCAGCGCCACAAACGACTTGACCGTGCCTTTGTTGACTAGGAAGTATATATAAATAAATATATGTAAATGACGAAATGGAAGTGTTTGGGGGGCTCGATATACATCGAATGAAATCGGCACACAACGATTGATCGACCAATCAAAAACCCAGAATGCGAATCAAGTACCCAATCAAAAGCATCTCTCGTCAACCGTCACTCAATGTACGACTTTTTAGTGTTTTACACATACAAATTTCTGCATAACAAACCATCGACGGATGAATCAGCAGCACCAAAACATTGATCCAACTATTGGCTCAATGCATAACGATACCACCATGCAAATGTTTAGTCATCAATACAGTGTTATATATATTACAACTGGAGCAACCACGAAAAACAAGTGGAGACACAAGAATGGTGGTTGATCCCAAGGAGGAGCTAGCCCACCATATATATATATATATATAGTCGAGTTGGTTTTATATATATATATAGTCGAGTTGGTTTTATATATAGTCGAGTTGGTTTTATATATAGTCGAGCTGGTTTTATATATAGTCGAGCTGGTCTTATATATATATATACAAAACCAACTCGACTCGACATGGAACAAGGTAAATATGACAAACTTCAGTGGGGTCATATTCATTTCTGAGCAATTCATACAATACCACATGCATGATGTAGTACTACTAAATAAAATATAGTAGTACTACTACTCAATAGATCAGTATTGATCCATGGGGATTCCTTTGACAATCACCATCTTAACTGTACCAGACAGTTTCAAAGGAACAAGACAGGTACGTACCTTGCAGCACAATCGCCACCGCGTCGGCCAAGTCGGCGGTGGACACGACCAGCACACGCCCAATGCACAGCGCCGCGGCGGCAAACTTGGAGCTGAGAATGAGCCCCACCAGATGCTTCTCCAAGAGCTTCGTGCGCGTCGTGAGCTCGTAAAACAACTGGACGTGGGCTAAATCCAGTTGTCCACCGTGGGTATGTTCCAAGTCTTCCTCCAAACGCACGAGGATCTAATGCCACAAGTGAATATATATATAGTCTCGTAATAGAGAGACAGGCAAAGCTACACGTACTGGTCAAACATGGATCACCATGAATATATATATATATCAGTCGAACTATACCGCAGCCAAGCAGGGTCTGGATACAATATACATGTATGCGTTCCCAACGTAGTTACGTAGGTAGATACATAGATATATATGTACGACCACCATTGTACATATTTCAAGAGCGATGCAAATGTTTCAGCAGATCACCATGTATATATATATATTATAAACAAGTAGGATATATATATATACGTACTGTAGCACATCACCACGCATATATATATATATATATCGATACAATATAAAGTAGGGTATATATATATATATATATATCGAGACAATATAAAGTAGGATATATATATATAGACAAAGTAGGATATATATATATGTTTGAAGGTACTTTTTTGGCTTTTTGGATGGCGTGGGGGATGTTCTTCGATGCGAGGGCCTTTTGCGTGCGGAATTCGCTGAATGAGCGCTTGATCATGTCCTCCACCGTCATGTCCTCGACGCGCAGCAGGTTGAGAATCATGTTGTACGTGAGGCGGAACTGGCTCTCCAATTTGGTCGGCAGCCCCAGCAGCATCGTGCGCAGCGACGTCGTGTCCGACACTTCCCTACAATATATATATATATATATATATATATATATATATATATATATAGGTAGGTACGTGGGTCCATATCACAAATCGATATATATAATAAACAACATGTCATATATACCCACAACTTGGAACAACAATGTGTTATTGAAGTATATTCCATCTGTAATATTGATTGGGAGTTGAGATTGGTTACATTGAATCATATCATTATATATATATCACGTTTGATATTATATTTCACGGTACAAACAACGACACAGACGGTAGTTTGGCTTGTTGCACTCCAAATGTTCATTTTTAAACTCGAATGTAATAATTCATTGCATAAATAGCTTCAAATATGACTCATATCGATGTATATATATATATATATGTACGTACCCCCAGCAAGCAATGATCACAGTGCCAATGGCGTCGAGACCCCGCCGTCCAGCGCGGCCAGCCATTTGCGTGTACTCGCCAGGCAGGAGATCCCGAAAGCTCTTTCCATCGTGTTTACGAATACCGTTAAACACCACCTATACCACCACCACATCACCAGGATAGAACTCCATATATATATATATATATATATATATTATATAGATAGTACCGTTCGAGCAGGCATGTTGACCCCCATCGCAAATGTTTCCGTGGAAAAAAGCACTTTAACCAGCCCTCGGCCAAATAAGATTTCGACCATCTCCTTCAAGATCGGAAGCAGACCGCCGTGGTGGACCCCAATGCCGCGCAGAAGCATATCCCGGACTTGGAGCACTTGAGGCAATTGCTGGTCTGTTCCCTATATAAATATATATATATATATATATCCCAACCTGGTTGATATTCTATTTCCGAGTAAAAGCACACAAATACAAGGTATGGATTGTCGTGAAAGAATGTAAAAGTCGATTGTGGTGGTGTTGAAGCGGTAGACATGAATATAATAATATCGAAATGGAATACAACGTCCAAGTAGTGTGGTTGAGGAGCGATTATTCCTTGGCATTTGATTGGCCAATTGAAAAGAAACAAGTGTTTTGATTGGTCAATCTTGGAATAATCATCAATTAATAATACCTGCAATCGGCTGATACTGGCGGCACAAAACACGTGAATCTCGGAGCGCTCGGACGACGAACTCAAGTCCATCTATTCAAACGCATACTTATCCTCCTCGGCAATAACTTACTCTGTCACAGACAAACAGCCTTTCGCATATGGAATATTTGTGACAGAGTACACGTCGTACGTACCCCCGCCAATCGATTGGCCGATTCTTCGCACATTCGTTTGCTAAAGGCAAACACTACCACGGGCAAGAGCGTCTTATCTTGGAGAAGGCGGATAAACTTGGTCCAGTCGGCCTTGTCCCCGCCGCCGCGGCCCATATTGGATCGAAATGAAGAAGAAGAAGGCGCTCCTTTGGTTCCCTTGGGTTTTTCTTTGGGCTTGACCTTTTGAGTAGCATACGTGTGGCTCGCGGGCAGGAACTGGTTTGTGGATGCGTCCACGATGGGAATGATTTCGCCCCCCGCTACAACCATAGGATGATAATATTACAATCATAGCATATAAAATAAGAGGTTTATATATATATATATATATTGTCAAGTCGATTCGAATGTGGAGTGAGTGGGGTGCTGCTCTCAATCGAATGAGCAGAATCACCCAATCGGCAGACGACAATCGATGATCGACCAATCAAAACACACAACATGAATCAAGTAGCCAATCCAATCATCCACTCGTCGACAAATTCAACGTCGAAATAGTAGTTACTGGACGATTTTGACATACAAAAGTCAGTACAACGAAGAATCCACAATCGATCGATAGTTATTTGACGAATCCCACACAAAAGTCCAAATTTTGGGTAAAAGGACAATATATATATATATATATATATATATATATTACCGTAGAGGTGGTGGCCCAGAGGTACTGGGCGTTTGTATGTGGAGATAACGTGGATCTTTTTTTGCTTGGTGCGGCCGATCCAGTCGGAAAACTCAAACGTGTTGGGGGTCGTCGCAGATAAAAATACCATCGACACATGCTCGGGCAACATGATGATCACCTGACAACATTAGAAAGTGATATATTACTGTGTTTATATTCTAACATGGAGAGACATGGAGAATATATATATATATATATAATCGACACACAACCAAATACTGTATGGACACAAGAATCATCGGCAGAAGGATTGAGCCAATCAGATTGCAGAAAACAGCGATCATCAATGTCAAATTAGTGTGTGACTTCAATTAGTGTGATAGATACCAATCCCCACAGGACAACACCTTTTGACATACAAAAGTCAGTAGTACAAACAAATTGGATCGATACATTTGGCGATTCCGTACAAAAGTCAGCCAAATTTTGAGTAAAAGGACAGTATATATATATATATATATATCATTGTACTTTTGCTGAGCAACTCATTGTCAAGTCGGTTCGTAATTGGAGTAGTCGTCGCCAGTAGAATCGAATAGACTTGGCAAATCGATTTGAGAGAATGAACTAGCCAATCAAAAACCATTCTGAACCCCAACCCCTTTACAAGAGTTCTGCATGGTTCAGCCAATCAAAACGCTTTCTAAAACTACTTTATTCTACAAAGGATATTGTCCTTCGTAGAATAAAGTAGTTGGTCGTACAGTAGATACAGGAATTATTAATCCCGATCAGCCAATCAAAATGATTCATTCGTTGGAGACCCCCCCATCGACCAATCAAATGACACGAGTGTGTCAAGTATTTCACAACTACAACGTAAATATATATATATATACAAGTTGTACGTTCTAGACTCGACTGCAGTCCAGAGTGCAAAAATACATCATTTGTTCCTCGGGAATATGACCAAACACCACATCTATCCCCACCATTCAGTCGGAAATAAATATATATATCTGTAATAATTCACTACTACACTACGAAAAGCATCCCTCTCACACAGAAACCAACACATATACATACATACACCAGGTACTAATATATCATCTATTGTCGATTTGATATACAAATTTGGGGATGTCGAATCGCGCCAACCAAACCGATCCACAATCGATCTGATTGGTTGAATTTCATTGAGAAATGGGTTTTGATTGGTTCATAATTTTGAGCTCATCTGAGGTAGCCAATCAAATCGATTTAAATTCCGATACTTTCGTACGTACTTCTTCCCACACGACCCCTCGTTCCGAGTCGTTGAGGTAATGAATCTCATCAAAGATGACCCACTCAATATCCCGAATCACGTCCGCGCCTCGATATAGCATCGATCTAACATTTATATTTTAAATATATGAAATGGAATAATATCTTTTTCCCACCGTAGGATTTCCGTGGTCATGACCAAACAACTGGCTTCGGGGTTAATAGACACGTCGCCCGTGATCAATCCGACGTTGTCGACCCCAAATTTGGTTCGAAAGTCGCGGTACTTTTGATTGGACAGCGCTTTGATCGGCGAAGTGTAGATTGTACGAGTCATGTGCTTCTGGGACATGGCTATCGCGTACTCGGCCACCACCTATATATATACAGCACACCAAAACGAATATAACAATCAATCAACATCACCAACTACTCTGTATACATACATATTCAACTAGTTAACAACTAGACGAATCATCACCATAATCAACGATAAAAACACAAATATTACGTCGGATACACAAGAGTAAAAACAATGGAGAACGATTTTGCTGATGTATATATATATATATATATATATATACATCAGCAATATCGTTCTCCATGTGTACGACGTAATATTTGTTTTATATACATATATACTTCCTCTGTTCCACGTTACTGCCGACATTTCCTTGGAATTGACACAGACAATCGAGCCCTCACTCAATTTGGGCGAACGATACTTTGTTGAAAAGAATTTTCGCAAAAGATTGGTTTATAATCAACGCTTAAAGCAATTGTAAGCCAATGAAATGTCATAAATGTTCGATATTGATAGAAATTGAAGAATTACAGCCAATGAAATGCAAATGTCACCAGTAACTTGGAACATGCGAATTTTGAAATGTCGGCAGTAACGTGGAACAGAGCAAGTATATATGTATATACAAATATATATATACATCAGCAATATCGTTCGTTCTCCATGTGTACGACGACGAAATATAAATCCAAACCACCAACTATTGCACATTAAACAAGATCTACACAACCAAGATGTATAGAGAGAGACATACGCGACCATGTCGTGTGGGAGATATATAAAAAATATATTTGAGGTACAATAATAATAAATCCAGCGACGGTTGCTGTTATATATACTACTACTACATACGAAGCAGTTAGTTCAACTCCCCATCAACAATTTTAAAATAATAATAATACATCCTACACAAGAAACTAAAATAATATTAACAATCCAAACAACCAATTACTACTACATACTAGACAAGATATACACAACAACCCATATAACAACTCCCCACATGCGTATTTCAGTTAATTTGACCTCATTTCAGTTAATTTGACCGATTACTTGTCTGAATCGTTCGACATACCCACTTCTAACTACTTACTGTATATACAATTTAGATATATAAAAAAGACACGGTGAGATACAGTGTCGATAAAGATATTATTAGTACATGAAAGAATGGTGTATATATATATATATATACCGTTTTGCCAGCCGACGTGTGCGCAGCAATAAACACGCAGTCGTGGTTCTCCAAGTGCACCACCGCTTGCTTTTGAAACGAGTCCAATTCAAACGGAAACTTCATCGCCAGGTCCTTTGAGTCAAAGTCCGACACGTCCACTTCGGCCACGCTCGCCCACTCGAACGATGCTGTTGTTGCGGTAGTTGCTGTTTCTGCAAAACTCGACACCTCCAGCCACTCTTCTTCTTCGAACGGTTCGACGTTGCTTGGCATGTCAGCGTTACTTTTTGTCAACTAGAAACGACATGAATCAGATATCTCATCCATATGCCCCACTCTCACTTGGTCGGAATGAGAAGTCGCGGCGGTGGCTGGAGGCTCTTCGTCGTCGTCGCCCCACGCTAAATCGTCGCCGGCGGCACTGAGAAGGCTTTGTACCGATAACGCTGGGTTTCCCACGTCCATAGCTACGTACGTCGTACCAACATTGGCGTGGCAATCATATATATATATATATATATATATATATTGCATTGTGTTTATTCTAAACTGTGGAGAAAGAACCGACATAACCAAATACATGTACACAAGAATCATCGGCAGAAGGATGTAGCTAATCAGATTGCAGGAAATCAGCATCAATGTCAAATTAGTGTGTGACTTCAATTAGTGTGATACCAACCACCACAGGACAACACCTTTTGACATACAAAAATCCAAATTATAAAAGGAGGATGATCAGTGGTGAAAAAATCAAATACTATGGCCATAGTAGGAATATAACAATATATAGGAATATGCCCAAAGCAGATATACTGTTCAGACTGTACCTCGCAGCGCCTTGTCGTCGGCGATCGCTCGAGTGAGCGCGTGCAGCGAGTGTGCATCTGCGACGACGTCGTAGTACGGTCGAAGCAGCGTCGATGGATTCACGCCCACGGTGTCGCATGCAACCGACGGCTAATGCGGGATGCGCAAGACGTACATTAGGCTGGGAAACGCATGACCGATGCATGTCTTCTACCTACCTCCATGACGGCAGGAGCGGACGAAGCTCCAGACAGGCGGGCGATGTCGTCGTGCGTAAACCCTTCCGACAATCCCGGAGCCGGGAGAAAGAAAGCATCCAACTGCATGCAAGCGGCATGAGAGAGACCGGGAAATGAATGGAAGAAGGAGAGGCGACGACGTACATGGGTTTCCCAGTCGGAGGCGACCGCGAGAGCGGCGGCAGGATCGGTCGTGTAGACTTTTGCAAGTCGAGACGCCATCGACGGATCGATGGTGTCGGAGGTGACGAGGGAGTCGCCGCCAGGGGTGAATGGAACGTTGCCGATTTTGCCGCGCGCGTAGTCTTGGAGTTGCGTGGGTTTGCGCAACATGAGGTTGGACGTTTCTGCCATCGACTGGCCGTCCACGGCGATCGATGCGAACTCGTACGACAAAGACATGGCGTTCATGACCTATGACACTTGAGTGATTGAACGTTCTCATGGATCTGGGGATGTAGACACCATGGACGACTTGACAGCCTTGATGTCCACTCGATTGATCGACACCGGCACTTCGACTAACGTCCGGCTGGGGTCTCCTTGCCAGAGAAAGGCGGAGGCTTCGTCCATGGAAGCCTGCGCGAGCAAGTGGGCGGCGGAAACGTTGGCGACCTGCGTGCAACACATGAGCGAACCTGCATGCGACACGAAACGTGTTCACGGCACACCGTTGGTGGCGGCACGAGAGGTAGCGGGAGGCACATCGGATGAGTAGGCTTGCCATGCGGCGTCAAGAGAGGTTCTTGGGAAGTGTATCCGCTAAGTTGATGGACGTAGGATGTCGGCGGGGTGGCGCCGCCGTCACGCTCTTGCGCGAGCAGTTGATCGAGTTCGTCCAGCAAGTCCATCGTGGTGTTATCGCTCCCTCAAACTGCAAATGTGGTAATATTTTTATCGATTTTTAATGTTGACTTGAATGCATTATAATGGAATTTTATTTTCTTCTCTACAGGTCTCGGAGAAAGGACATTTTCCCATTTGCTCAACGATCGACGAGGGCGCCTCGTCGATGAGCTTCCGACTCCTTCGTGGCCGTCGCCGCCAAGTCTACATGCAGCGTCATGAGTTCGCCAAGATGCCGTTGCCAACAAGTCGATTTGAACTCAGTGATCGAATGGACTTGTTGGCGACGACATCTTGGCGCGGCGTGTCCAGAGCATGCGCGGGTCAAACCATTTGAAACCGTGCAACCCACGATATGGTACGATAACATTCGACATAAACACGATCGAGTCTACACGGCGCGTGGTTTTGTATGCTCGACGACCTCGCTGTCAAAGCTGCCGCCACGAGAGGACTGCAACATAGCGATGTCGTCACTGATACAGGATGCGGCAAACGATGATTCCGCGTGGCTCCCTGCAACTCCAGTCGTGAGGAGGATGACATACATCATGTACAGCATTTGGTGTACCTGGCGCAGGCAGTGGTTTCGTGGACGACGGGTGTATGTAGGCAGGTGGGGCAGTGACATGATGCACGCCGACCTTGTTCGCTTTGGGAAGACGTGGGATTGGAGGTGGTTTCCCGTTGTTGCCCATGATGACAAAGTCGTCCGAGCCTGTACTGCCAACAACGTGTTCGATGGGCGTTTGGACAATGCCGATGTCGGGACGTTTTGGGATTTTAGGTGTAGTGGACGACGACGGTGGCGGATACAAGTGGGAAGGGTCGTCCATCAACATGGTCGGGTCCTGCTGGGCACCTTCGAGCAAGGCACGGTCCATCTGCATTTGGGTTTTCTTTCGTCTGTTCTCAAGGCGGAGGCGACGAATGCAATTGTAAACGACAAAGCCGACGACGACGACTCCAAGCGCTATGCCGACAATCGCGCCGACAGGTAACGCCGGGGACGAAGCTTCCTCTAGATGGCGCACCAGGTCACGACCGAAGGGATAATGCCTCCTCGTTATCCTTCCAGCTTCATGTGTGTTCATAGAGAGCTCGCGGTGGGCGGTTTCCGTCGCCGTGGCTTCCTGGCTGGACATGGCGCGAGTTCCTAAAGTCGCCGTGAACCAACTTGGGTTCAGTATGCAACGCTGGATCTCCACGCTGTGTATTTTAAACGCGTTTAAAACACATTGTAGTCGTGTTGGAAACAGCAAAGTGTTTGAAACATGATTGAGATCTGTTTGAAATGTGTTTGAAACACCCGTGAGCAACACCACCAAGGACACGTGCTGCATTTTCCACGGTCCATCGTCATGGCTGACACCGTTCGATCCCGCAATGCACCAGGCGGCGGCGCGATTGCCGCGTCCATTGTCGTCCCTACGTACAAAGAAAGCGCCAACCTGAAGGAACTGGTGACCCGTGTGTTCACTGCACTCGGGCCGCGCGCGGCATCCACGGAGATCATCGTCGTGGACGACAACTCGAACGACGGGTCTGAAGAAGCGATCAAAGCACTTGCGGCTACGGGGTTGAACGTGCGTATCATCGTTCGCACCACTGAACGTGGTCTCAGCAGTGCTGTCTTGCGCGGCTTTGAAGAGGCCAAAGGCGACCTGCTCATGTGCATGGATGCCGACTTGCAACATCCCCCCGAGAGCGTGCCCGACCTTCTGGACGCTATTGACTCGTCCAAGGGAGCTGACGCGGAATTCGTGATCGGTACTCGATACGGCGGTGACAAATTCTCCGTGGACAAGGACTGGCCGCTGTACCGCCAGGTGATTTCCAGTGGCGCGCGCATGTTGGCACGGCCGTTGAGTGGACTGTCGGACCCCATGACAGGGTTCTTCGGGGTGCCCGCGAAGGTGCTGCAACGCGCGCGGAAGAGCGAAGTGAACTCTGTGGGGTTCAAGATCGCGCTCGAGCTATTCGTAAAGTGCCGCGTGAAGAAGCATGCCGAAGTGCCGATCAACTTTGGCGTCCGCGTGCACGGCGAAAGCAAACTGTCGAGCAAAGTGATCGTGCTGTACTTGCAGCACCTCTTCGACCTGTACAACTTTGCGTACCCGTCGCTGTTGTGGTGCATTTTTCTCATCTTGTTCACCCTTGCCCTGCTCACGTTCTTGTGATAATGCATACTACTGTAAACGTTACTGTACGATTGATATTGTGATTTGGAGAACAACCAAATATAACGTTACCGAAGAATCGGCAGAAGGATTTAGCCAATCAAATTGCAGGAAACCATCACCAACATGGAATTAGTGTGTGCCAGAAATTACTGTGATTCTAATCACCACAAGACAACTTTTTACATACAAACTTCAGTACACATAATCGATTGATGGATTTCACGGATCAGCACAAAAGTCAACCAAATTTTGGGTAAAAGGACAATACCTATCGTTCGTTCCATTGTACTACGTAGTACATTTCAAGCTTGGAATATACTGGTACTAGTTCGAAGTTCTTAGATGACGTGCACCATAATTGTGAGTCAAAAGTCCATCTTTGGTTGAAATGCACAATACTAGTATATACGTGTATCTCACGCTTAAAAGTCCGTCGTCGAATGTACTTCGCTTGGACATGTCGTAGGTGAATGAGTGGAGTTTTTATTATTTAACGTACATAAACCAGAAAAAGCAAGGTGAAACAGGCATTTTTGAATGCTGCGCAAGGTAAACCAACCACCTTGCGAATTCCATTAATAATTCTGTTAGTTTCATTTAATGTAGTTAATCCCAAAAACCAAATACACTAATTGTAAATACCAATTTCATGCGTTTTATCACTGCAGTCCCAACTGCCTCCGGATGTTATATACGGATTAGAGTCACATACAAAAATCAAGATACATCTCAGCGGCCATCCCTATGGCCAAATATACTCAAGCATGTAAAATACTGATATCTATTTCTGGACCAATTCATCACCAAATTTGAATCTGAGACGTAGAATTTCTTCACCACATTGAGATCTGTCGATTCTACGTCTCAATTTGCTGAAATTTTAAATAATGAATATGAAATAGAAGTCAAAAAGTTGGTACTGATCTCCAGCCTTAAGGGGCTCTTCCAAGTACCGTCGTACTTTAAACCCAAAATGCGTTCCCAAGTAAGTTTGTCGTTATTTCATCGCACTTTCGTCGTGCTTTTGTCGTGTTTTCTGCTTCCACGTGATTGGCTAGTGATGGTTTTGTCATGTTTTGGTCCATCGTGTTTTGAGGTTTTCAGCGCGCACGGATTGGACAAACCTATCCAATCACAGTGGCATATGCTTACATACTAATTTTCATATAAAGACCAATGTGCTTGCTCACCAGCGAAATTTGCCGGCAGCAGTGGCGACCTGCCCTAGATCCAAGCACAAGGCCTAGGTCATACGAGTCCTAGGAACATGTAGATTGACAAGAAGCATGATAGCTATGCCTGGCTATAGCTTTGAAGTCTCCGCCATGATGTTCGGCAGCCTCTCCTCGTACATAACAGCAGTCGAGTCATGCCGTGAGCAAGACATGGCACGGCTCGCTGTTACCACAGGTATCGTCATGGCTGCCGAAGCATCCACAGCGGTACTATGGCATGACCCCAAAGGTATCCTGCGGAAATGGGATTGATTTCACAGTTCCTGGTGGTGCCGTTGACGAGAACACGCCCACTTATGGCGGCTCCGACCAACCTCGGCATGGACTTGCAGCCCCAAGGTGCGAGTAGAATATCCAATACTCAGATCAAGTAAAACGAAATGCAATCATTAATCATTTTAACCTACTTGGGATGCACAAATACCCAAAACACGATCAAAACATGACTCGCCATCGTACTTTGAAAAAGTGATTTCAAAGTATGACGGAAACGATTCTGATTGGCTCCGTTTTTGAAAGTTACTTGGAAGAGCCTCTAAACGAAACGGAGCAAATTATGCAATTCTCACAGTATATAAATCTTACAGGTATTTCCAGGATGTCTGGACCAACTACTTATACATGCATTCAAGCGCTGGATGTCTCCAAGTCAGAGCTGAGTATGCCAGTGCGACTCCAGCAGTTTCTCATAGTCGATTGCTCCATAGAGCGCCTGGCATCCTGATCCCAGCCCATCGCCTTAACGCTCTGCGTCGCGTGGAAAAAGTCTTCACCTTCCGATATGGTTGGATAATATAAAGTTTCAAAAATTATCAAGTTTACCCCGTTTCGTTTAAGGGGGGAGATTAGTAGTTTATAGATGACGTGCACCATACTTCGATACTTCGTAGTACTTACTACCAGTACAGTAGTAGTAACCAATAACATTTGACACTATTTACAATCTTAAGCTTGTACAAACTATAATTTACAATCATTGGAGGACTTCAGAAACCGGCGCAAACTTTATTTTGCGCCACCAAAATCATCCGGAATTATAATTTAAATGCGCCGCAAATTTTGGTGAGGCCAGAAAAGCGCCTCAT